TACGGACCAGCCCATATCCCAACCCGAAGGCATGGAAGAGAAGCCCTTGTGCAAATAGGAAGGGCTCGACTGACAGCTGTCTTTGGCTGGTTGGCACTAGGGGCTACCTCCAGATCGTGTGAAAAAAATTACCTCTGGAGTGCGTGGAAAATAACACCCGAGAGAGCCATGTCGTATGGGACTGCACTGGGTAACAGTTTACTGTGCTCCAGTTGGTAAAATGATGTTCATGAGGGCTGTTCTCCGACCCTTAGTTATACATATACCCTTAGTGTTGTAAATCACCGAAAACATTGTCTTTATCTGTCTCCCCTCCTAAGGCCCCCTCCCCTCTCATCCCACCCTTCACGTACTTTCTGCCTTCTGAATATCGCGGAAGATCAAACGCAGGCCAAACCAATACAAAGCCAGACTCACACAGTATCCATAATATCCTTATTTGCTCGCACATATGCACCGGGATAAAGGGCCTGGATCTGTCTCTGTTGAAGTCAAAGGAAGTTTTGCTAATGATTTAAATGGGAGCAGGATAAGGCCTTAAAGAGGTGGTCTTTAGTTTCTAAATCCTGCTCGGACTGTCACAATGAACAATCCCCTTTATCTTAACAATTCTGTGGTAGAACCAACCTCTTGTGAAACGAACTCCCACCTGTTCTATTCTCACTTCCTTGCAAACCCCAACCTTCCACTGAAATGAACGGGGAGATTTGAGTGCGCAAGGAATGCAGGATTCCGCTGGCTGTAGTCTGTCTAGTGTTTACCGCAGATCTGTCAAGACTCATTTGAGATTAGTTTTAAGCGGTTTGGAAAGTATATCTCCCACGATTTTGCTGCGTCTTCCAATGAGACCCTAATGGTTTATTCTTAAACCTCCCTCACACACTGTCATGACGCCCCACTCACTTAAGTTCAAAACGTTTAAAACCGATTTATTACATCATGTTTACAGCTTTACTTAATGATATATGGCTGAAGAGGGAGACCAAAGGGATGGCATTCAAAGGGTAATATGTCAAATCACAGTTTACCAATTCTAAAAAGCGCACGAAATGAACAGGATTCTTGTAAGTCCAACAATAAGCCCTGTGTAAACAGTAATGGAAAATGTACACATTACTACTAATGACACATATATAAAACAGAAGATTCCCTTCAAAACAATCTGCTTGGGAAAGCATGTTTGATTAATCCACTTTCCACGTGCAAGTAAATACGGTTTTATTCGCCAGTCAATATGATGTCAAAATAACGTGTTAGTGATATTGTCCAATTTTGTCATCTGAATCTATAATGATTTTTTTATTTCTACAAATTATCCCTCCGCTTTGCCTTTTTAAAAACGCTTTAAAACACATCTCTAAATTAATAACAACTGGAGGAGCTTATACCTAACTCAGGTGAATTACAAAAGCAGAAAGCCTATTTTTAAAATGTCAATGAGTGGTGTTAACAATAATGGAGTAATTATCACGGTTTTATTAAGGCTATTTTTATGACATTGCTAGAGGTGAAAACTTTGGAGAGACGGGAAATAGGGGCTTTTCTCTAACTCTTAGGGTGTGAAGACAAGGTGATACACTAAGAGCAATTGATAGAAAAGCGGGACTAAGAATAAAAAGCATATAAACGGTATGTGTGTATAGGGGCATATGTATTTTCTGTGTTTTGCTTAGCAAGCAGAAAACTAATACCAGCATTTATATGTAAGGCTTACTCCTTTGTTCCTCAGTTTTACCTGACGGATACCGGAAGCGATGCTTTCCTGGCACTTCAAAAGACAACTGAAGATTTCTAACCTGTTTGCTCTAGCAGTAATAAGGTGGGGCCCGATCCGGATCTCATTAAACTTAGCGGGAGTTCCCTCATTTTTATTTCAAATTGAGCTGGATCAAAATCTTTATTTACTCGAGTCAGCAAACTCATACAGTACTGGATTCAACCCTTAAAATACCATTTATGGAGTCGTAATTAAATACATACAGTTTCAATATCTTATAGATAGTATAAACGGACATGCACTGTAACCTAACTGATCTGAAGGTATTTATCCTGTGAAACCAGTTCAAATACCATGCGCTAGATTTTTTTACTCGACTAACATTGATTAGAAGCCAGGTTTCTACGTTTCTGCCTCACTCTTTTCAAGTTTATGCAGAAAGTCGAACTAAAAAACAACATTTTTGTGCATGTTTCAATAACTTTTGTGCAACTGATTATATTTATTTTGCAGGAGCTTCTACTCGTGTATCTTTGTAAAACCACTGTAGAAATGGTGTGATATATGGCATTTATTCACCAGCATTTCTTAAACAAATGGAAACTGGTATCTAGAGAGGGTTTAATGTTGTGTCTGTACCTACTAATTATTGCATTTTACTGAATCAGAATTCCAGGAAGATGTAATCATACTAACATCAGAAATATTTAAGAATGCGATTAACAAATAGTCTATTATTTTACTTTAAAAATGCCTTTTACTTTGTTTTGACTAAATTCTCCTGCAGAGTTTAAACATTGTCTTTTCTCTTTGAATTTCCCCCTTTGCAGAACAGAACAAACGGATCCCTACGTGGAATTAATTAGGAAGGGGAAAAGTGCTCGATATGTTTCACGATTCTTTTTTGTTAAAATCAGGGTCACGTTTTATTAAAACGACTGTTCCCAAAAAGTGGCGATGAGCATCACAATGTAGCAGTGTTCTGATCCGCAAAATGTGGTGAAAGTGAGTAACTGATCCAGAGACTTTTTTGTCTAGATAGAATATTTCATTCTGCGCGGATAATGCACCACGACATAAAAGCTTCCAGAAATGTTCATGCTGATCGTACCATACTCTCATGCATAGTTTCCATATCTTCACATAAGGTCTACAAGGCGTCATATTTTGTGAATGAACGGCTCCTCTGCTTTTTCCAACGGTGAACAGACTGGGGGGAAAATCGTTTGACGCCAGGCACATACAATGTAGGTTGTATTTCTTGTGATAGGGCTGCACATGGATTAGGTTTGTGGCCTCATCGTTTTCAGTGCTTTGGAGTGAGGGTATCAGAATGTGGCCCGCTGAAATCAACGTCAAATTTCCAAAGTGACTACAATAGGATCAAATCGGCCCCTTTGGCCCCAACACCTGCTATGGGATTTGTGGGCTCCATCCTTAACCCTTTATTCACTGTATTTCTTGTGATAGGGCTGCACATGGATTAGGTTTGTGGCCTCATCGTTTTCAGTGCTTTGGAGTGAGGGTATCAGAATGTGGCCCGCTGAAATCAACGTCAAATTTCCAAAGTGACTACAATAGGATCAAATCGGCCCCTTTGGCCCCAACACCTGCTATGGGATTTGTGGGCTCCATCCTTAACCCTTTATTCACGCGATTTAAGCCCAAGTGATGATTCCTATGCAAGTCAGTAACAAGGAATGCGGGCTGGGGTCATTCTGCCTAGGTCCTGCAGGGAGGAGCAGTCTGTAGCCAAATGCTTCAAGCCAGCACACCTAGATTTCAGTAAATGGGAGTTTAGCCTTTGATTTGGAAAGGAGCAGGCTCGGACCCGCTCTGTACACCCTGCTGTGAGCCTGGGGGAAGTTGTTATCCGGGCCATGTGATCTGAGGTGTCACCACGCAAAATGTTATTAAAAACCTGCTACCGTTAAAGTAATCCCGGGAACTATTTCCGGTTATGCACTACAGTTCGTGTATCCCTCTCAGACATGCACTCCGCCTCCCTCTCCCGCCTCCCCCCAAAAAAGGGGGGGGGGACGAAAACGCACACACGACATTCAGACACATATTTAAGGAGATCAGTTTGGACTCTAGGGAGCCACTAATGCCCTCGGTATCATGCATTTGTGAAAACATGATCATATTTCTGTCTTCCATATCCTAGTCCCAGCGGGATTGTTGCATAGGTTGCATCCAGCCTGATTATTTTGAATACGGGTGTTTGAGGAGTTCCTGTCATTTCATCCCAGCGCCTAGCGTGCATCGATAAGGAGAAAGGCAAACATAGGCTATACAGCTATAACATTCCTGGGAAAGTATGTGGCCTTTTCTGCTTCCTTAGAGTACTGGCAGCCTTCCCTCCTGGTTGATGGGAAGGGGCTGCGAATGCCAAAACAACCCCAGTCATTGGCACTTGTGCAAAGCTGAGTGAGTGTAAAACGCTGCTGGAGCAAAAATGGTAGAATTGGACACCAATTTGGGACAGGTGCAGGGCAGAGGAGAAACAACCCGCGCGCCTGCTTATAAAAAGCGACTAGCCAGGTAAATCTCCTGACACAGGCTGTGCTTTTTCAAGAGCATGCTGTGTTCCGCATCTTCTCACTCTGGGATTAAGAGCGATCTTAATCGTATAGATACCAATGAAAAGAACCAGTTCTGTCACGGCCGTGTGAATTGTCTCAAGAACAGAAATCTGCGGGTTAATACAAGCCAGATCGTTCAGAGTACCCAGTTCTTACCCAGAGAAACAACCCCTGGATTTGAATGAGAGAGGACTGCAATACTTGACCTTCTACATGTTATTTCGTAATTTTAAAAAATAGGCTCAATATCACAGGCGGAAGAATTTGCCCAAAGTCATTCCTAGTGCATTTTTAAAGAAAAATAGCCAATTTTTATTTAGAAATTGTCATTGATGGAGAACAATATTCTTGTTGTATCTTTTTATTCCATTTCCTAAGCCTTTGCATAGTGAGATGGACAAAGGAGCTGGAGGGCATGCATAAAATACTGGAGGGGTACGTCTACACTACGGGACAAGGTCAATTAAGATCCGCAACATCAGCCAATTAATTGCATAGCTGAAGTCTAATTAAATAGCATAACTCCACTTTTGGTGTTATCCACATTGCAGGAAGTCAAAGGGGCTACATTTACACTGAAAGGTTTTCTTGCAAAAATGGCGGGGGTTTTTTGTGCAAAAACCTGTGGAGCATCCACACCTCTAATGTGCTTTTGGGCAAGTAAAACAGCAGTAAAACAGCATAACAGAGGGCTTTTACTGGTGTAGGCCCAGAAGCTTCTTTAAAAAAAAATAAAAACTGAAATTCTGCAGCTATTGCAAGGTGTGGATTCCACAGCAAATCCCTCAGCCATTGAGTCAGCAAGACTCCAATAAACTATGCTTAATAGATCATTTGAAAGTGGAGACATCTTATATACATCCAATTTGCAGATATTAGGGCAAACTTTTCAAGGCTTATTCAAACAGAAATGCATTGCTAAACTTTTAGAAATGTGCAGATAACTAATTTGCATATGTCAGAGCTTTTCAACTACTTGGCCATTAATTTGCAGCAGCAATCAAATGCACAGGGGGCTTTTCATCTTCTAAGCACTTCAGAACATTTACTGCCAATAATTAAAATGCACAACACCCCTGTGAGGAAAGCAAGTATTCTGATTTACTCATCAAATAGTATTCTGGATTGTCACTGCAACATTTTATAGATTGGGAAATAGGGAAATGGAGGCAAGGTGATAGATGCTTATCACTACACTAGACAATTTTTAGTGATACAGCTGTGTGGACACATCCATTTCGCTAAAAGTTAGGTGGTATAAATATTGTTTGGCTCTGTCTACACTGCAAGGTTTTTGCACAAAAACAGCTGCAAAGTAAATCAACAGTAAAACAGCAGAAGAGAGGGCTTTTTCCAGCAAAGATAAAATGCCTCGTACGAGGCATAACTCCTTTTCCAGTCCTATGATTCTATGAAAAAGGCAAATGTGGATGCTCCCGAGGGGTTTCTCGTGCTGTCTTCTTGCGCCCCCCTCTGCTGATGGACCGCAGACCTGTCAGGAGCCAGCTAGTCTACCCTGTGCCTGCGCTGGGGAGAGTCGGTGGCCACACAGGCAGCTTCTTGCAGTGCTGGACCCTGCCTTGCTTTTCCTGAAGTGCTTTTCCTGCTGCGAGAAGCCGAGGGACACCCTGTAGCTTGCTAAGGGAGGAAGAAAAGGTATGCTGCCCTTACAGGACATTCAGAGGCGGGGTGCAGCCCACGTGGGCTCCATTCTGTGAATGGCAATCAGAGCTTTCTTGCACAAGAGCATCCATGCAGTGTGGACGCTCTCTTGCACAAAAGCACATCACTTTTGTGATGCTCTTTGAGGTGTGCATGTGCTCTTTGCGCAAGAAGTTTTTGCACAAAATCTCTTGTGCAAAAGGCTTCTTGCACAAGAAGCCTGCAATGCAGACATAGCCTTAGAGTATGTGGACACTGCAAGGCTATTTTGGGATACCAAAGGTATCCCGAAATAGATAACACTTGTCTATACAAGTTGCCCATTATTTTGAAATATTTTGCATGAGGGATAAGGGATGGCTTAAAATAGTGCTTTATTTTGTAATTTGGCACTGTGTAGACATGCCAAATTTTGAAATAGCCTATTTTGAAATAAAATCAAAATAAGGTACTCAGTGGCTGTGTCTACATTGGCACCCCTTTCCGGAAAAGGGATGCTAATGAGACCAGTCGGAATTGCAAATGCCGCGGGGGATTTAAATATCCCCTGCGGCATTTGCATGAACTTGAAAGTAGGAATAAGGGATCTTCCAGAAAAGGGCTTATTTTCCGCAAGATCCCGTCTAGACTGGCGCTTTTCTCAGGCAAAACCCCAAGCCGGAAAAAAGCGGCAGCCATGTTCATGCAAATGCCGCGGGGGATATTTAAATCCCCCGCGGCATTTGCAATTCTGACTGGTCTCATTAGCATCCCTTTTCTGGAAAGGGATGCCAATGTAGACACAGCCTATATGCATAGCACAAATTCCATATCCTATTTCAAGTTTAGAGTGCAGTTATTTTGAAATAACACAGTTGTAACACTGAGACTGTCTACTCTGCACTGCTCTTCTGGAAAAAGCTATGCAAATTGCGAACTGCAATTTGAGTAGCTTTTTATGCTTATTTTTTTCTGGAAGAGGCTTTTTCGACAATTGGCTGGTCTACACTGGGCCAAATGTTGGAAAAAAAGCCCTTTTTCAGAACATCCCTTCTTCCTCATAAAATGAGGTTTACATGGATGCCAAAAAAGCACTTCTGCTCTTCCAAAAGAAAAAAATTTGTAAGAGCAGACACATTTCCTAGATGTGCAGAGTTTGCAGAGTAGACATAGTGAGAGTCTAGTCAAGTATTTCTTCCGGAATAGATTATTTTGAAATAAGCATACAGTGTAAGCTTACCCTTAAATGTGACTTCCTTCCCCTACCAGTTCGAGACTCAGAGGCTCATGGGAAAGACATTTGTAAGCTTCTCATATTTACTAGTACTCTTGGAAATGCTTTAAATCAATATTATTTATTAAATGAGGGATCCACAGGGCAGAGATAAAAGAAAAGAAAAAAACGTTGAGCATTTACACCTCATTCAAAAGAATAAGAAGCCCTTCGTGAACCCTTCATGCATTTACATTAGTCCTCGAGAAATAATGCTGGATAATATTTTCATGAAGGCCTCTCCTTGACGTCCTTGATTTCAGTGGGAGTTTTGGCTGTGCAAGGACTTTATCTCTGGCCCTACTTAGCGTTTACACGAGCTTCGAACTTCTCCATATTTTTCTTAGCTTCGGCAAAGAAATTGGGGACACAAAAGAGGTGCGCCTCATGGAAAGCTCTGTAGATGTCTGTCAACCAGGCTGAGGCAAACCTTGTTTTTCTGCCCCATTATTTGACTTGCCGAGCAACTGGCAAGAATTCTCCCGAGCAGCTGAAACCAACATTCCAATAAAGTGTGTGGGCTCCCAGGCAGAACCCGGACAACCGCAGCGAGGCTTTGCAGGCAAGCTGCGTAAGGTCATGTGGAAAGAGGGAAGTATTCGTCCATCTCAGCTAGTCCAAAGAGAGGGAAATGCGCGCATTAGCTGAATGGGCTGCTCGGTTGCTTTATACTGTGTGCGAGAGCAGACGTGTTAATACAGAGCGACACAGCTCGGGTAGTTTGGGTCGGTGAGAGAGGGCATGAACAGGCTGCCCCGAGGAAAGTAGAGACCGCTCGTCAGCTGGGAAGACAAGACACCAGCCCCAGCTTTTCCCACGACTTTTACAGGCAGAAGCAGGCTCAAAGGACGGGGGAGAGGGCGAGAGGACAGGGACAACGGAAGGATCAGGCACTCGGGAATGTCGCTGCTGACTGGATTTTCCTGAC